GACCCCCACTACAGATGACGACCAAATGAGGACATTGATTGAGAATAACCCGCATTGCACAACGCGGGAATTGACGGGAACACTAAATGTATCAAAATCCACCATCCATGAGCACTTAGTGAAGCTTACGTACTCAAAATCGCTATGATGTTTGGGTACCACATGATCTGAGTCAAAGAATCTTTTGGATCGCATTTCATCTGTGATTTGCCGTATAAACACAATTAAAATGCACCCTTTTTGAAGCAAATTGTGACGGATGATGAGAAATGGGTCGTTTACAACAATGTTCAGCGAAAAAGTTCCTGAGATAAGTGTTATGGGCCAACTTTAGTAACCTCAAAAGCAGGTTTTCATCCTAAGCTGTGTTATATTACATTGAGCACTATATTATTAACATTATTTTTGCTTACACGGAAGATTTACAAGCAACGACAAACAATTACCATTGTTGACTTGTCCGTATATTGTTTAATATATTGTAATGTAATTGTGATCTTTGATAATGCCTTATGTATGACGAAAGCTTAGATAGGATTAAAAAATATGTATCAGTATTGTGATTTTCTTCTTTTAATGATAATGTTATTAAGCTTACCAGACGATATGAAAAGAATTTGCATAAAATAGACAAAACTTGTCTATATTATTTAATGAAATATGCATCAATGAAAAAATGCTGCCTAAATACACACAATATCTATATCTATATCTATCTATATATATATATTACTTATTATAAAACGCAGATTGTGTGTGTGTGTCTGTACGTTTATATATTGGATCGAATTTCTTACATTTTTCAACCGATTCCAACAAAACTTCACAGGACTGCGTAAAATTACCTTGCGGTGGTTCTGACAGCGCCAAAAATTGGAAAAACACAATTGTTTTTGCAGGAAATCAATTTGAAAACACGATAAAACACGATTCTGTCGCCAGAATGATAGGGGGACAACTCATTTCGAGTTATACTTACCCAGGTTGCTTGTGTGTGTGTGTGTGTGTTCGTTTATATATGGGATAGGATTTCATACATTTTTCAACTGATTTCGACAAAACTTCACTTTTTTTTTTGGCAGGTAGTGTTTCTTATTGTCTTGCACACTTTTTTCTTTATTTTTACTTTCAGAATGCTTTAAAAATTCCATTTACAAGACAATTGATAATAATAAAATTCTATTCAATAGATAGACTCATAACGATTGAAAACAATGTTTTTGTTTGAGTTTGGGTTTGACCAATTCGTAAAAAACCCCCAAAAAAACTAATTAAGACATGCGTGTCCGTCAACCTTAAACAATAATCTTTGTCAATTTTATTTTTCAGTCTTTATGATGGTCGATACTTGATCTATCTCTTACTGTTACATCCCCGGGCAACGCCGGGCTCTACTGCTAGTATATATATATATATATATATATATATATATATATATATATATATATATATAGTATGAAGATAGGTAGCTGATATTATTCCAAAACAGTATTCATCAACATTTCAATCTGTTCGCCTCACTCCACATTTCCTTAATGTTTTTCCATTTTGTGAAAACAGGCCAGTGATGATTAGCAGAAAAAGAGAGTAAATATTCACGGGTTTCTTTTCCCACTGTTTTTCTTTTCCGCCCATAACCAAAGCAAGAAAAAATGTTATACTGCCGTTGGGGTCATGACTGAGTACAAACAATCATCTAAATTTTAAATGCAGATTTTGACAGCTCAAACATTTTTTTAGAAATTCTCTCATGAACACAATCTAAGCATCTATCAACAAAACACGTAACACTAATGGCAGCTCATAGATTATATAATGACTGTAACCATAAAATCTGATTGATTGATTTGTTTACAGTTTAGCAACCGTTTTTGTGGGTTAATTAAAAACATATTTTTGAATTGTATTTTTTTTTTCAAATGAATATTGTATTAAAAATTCCAGGTATAAATATACATTAACAATGATTTTTCCAGATACAAATTTAATAAATTTTTTTTTTCTTTTTTGAGCTGTGTCCTTTCAGGGCGTAGGCGATCATGGCCCTCCACATCCTTCTATCCCTTGTAGATCTTACTAAGTTTTGTCTTTTTGTTGTTTCACCCAGACCCTGTTCTGCCATCCACTTGCTCAACCTCATTGTCACGCGTTGCTTTCCCCTGTCTCTCTATCCGTCCTGTGAGTATCAGATTTTCCCAGCCCTCCTTCCTCATTACTTGTTCTAGAAATTTCAGCTACATCTTCCTGATGTATAAGTTTCCTCTTTGTTTTCATTCTCTCAAAAAACTCGTCGTTGGTTAGATTGTAGAGGTAAAGAGAACAAACACAACCGATATATATATATATATATATATATATATATATATATATATATATATATATATGTGTGTGTGTGTGTGTGTGTATGTGTGTGTGTGTGTGTCTGTGTGTGTCAACAAATATATGTATAAGACAACAATTTTACAAGTGACAAAGACATTAACCTTTGTGTTTGTGAGTGAACGTAAAGAGTTTGTATTTTGGTGAATGTTCGTACGCACGTGTGCGTGTGTGTATAATGTTCACGGCGTCTTCCCACAAGTGTGGAGACGCTATCGTCTAAGAGAGCTTACATTGTAGATGTGTTCGCTGAAATGAAGAAATGAAAACGGTTATTTACCTCACCACCTCTTGACAAATTCGGATCGTTTCTCGGCCTTTTGGCTGAGATTCGATCACGACTACGACTAGTTTGGACTGGCTTCGGCCTGGACCAGCTAAGACAAGCCATGACCAGCTTTGGCTAAGCTCTGACCAGTTTGGACATGCTATAACCAGTTTTGGACCAGTGGCCCGTGAGTGGAAACACTCGGGTCTCCCACGTTAAACCGACCTTGTGTCACATCCTGACTTCGTGGGAGTCAAGTAAATATCTCTTGGCGGATTCGGATCGCTTCTCAGTCCTTTTAGCTGAGATTCGATCACGGCTACATCTAGCTTGGACCGGTTCAGGCCTGGACGAGCTAGGACAAGCCATGACCAGCTTTGACTAAGCTTTGACCAGCTTGGACATGCTATGACCAGTTTTAGACCAGTGGCTCTGAGTGGAAACGCTCGGGTCTCACACGTTAAACCGACCTTGTGTCACATCCTGTCTTAGTGGGAGTCAAGTAAATATCTCTTGGCGGATTCGGATCGCTTCTCAGTCCTTTTGGCTGAGATTCGATCACGGCTACATCTAGCTTGGACAGGCTCAGGCCTGGACCAGCTAGGACAAGCCATGACCAACTTTGACTAAGCTCTGACCAGCTTGGACATGCTATGACCAGTTTTGAACCAGTGGACCGAGTGGAAACGCTCGGGTCTCACACGTTAAACCGACCTTGTGTCATCCTGCCTTAGTGGGAGTCAAGTAAATATCTCTTGGCGGATTCGGATCGTTTCTCGTAGTTTTGGATGAGATTCGATCACGGCTACGACTAGTTTGGACCAGCTCAGGCCTGGACCAGCTAGGACAAGCCATGACCAACTTTGACTAAGCTCTGACCAGCTTGGACATGCTATGACCAGTTTTGGACCAGTGGAACGAGTGGAAACGCTCGGGTCTCACACGTTAAACCGACCTTGTGTCACATCCTGTCTTAGTGGGAGTCAAGTAAATATCTCTTGGCGGATTTGGATCGCTTCTCGGCCTTTTGGCTGAGATTTGATCACGGCTACGTCTAGCTTGGATCGGCTCAGGCCTGGACCAGATGGACAAGCCAAGACCAGCTTTGCCTAAGCTCAGACCAGCTCTGGCCAGCTTGGACTTGCTATGACCAGTTTTGGACCAGTCTTCCACGTTAAACCGATCTTGTATCACATCCTGGCAGTGGGGGTCAAGTAAATATCTCTTGGCGGATTTGGCCTCGGGGTAGAGCGACGAGCTCCCCCTCTCACCTTCGCTGACCACACGAAGCAGTCAAACCTAGCAGCAGCAGCAGCGGGCCGACCCAACTTCAGTAGCAGCAGGACTATACCCGGCTACATGATATGCAATAGTCCTTTTCAGGACTATACCCCGCTACATGATATGCAGTAGTCCTTTTCAGGACTATACCCAACTACATGATTTGCGATAGTCCTTTTCGGGACTAATCTAGCCACATTAGGTACGAATGTCCTTTTTATTAGAACTACCAAGTTGTGATCTTGCACGACTGTCATACCTAGGACGAACGGACTACACCAGCGCCGTCCGCGTCGAGCCTCTCTTCTTAAGCGCAGACGCGCTCTTTACAAAAGGGCAGACATCCGGGGATCGACTGGACCTCGAACATCGCTGTTCCATCTGCCTACTTCCGAGCTGTCGCCTTGAAACCTGACAACGCTCCTTCAACTGACACTCTCTAATTTCACGACCGAACTCCAGCAAACAATTTTCTGTACATACTTTTGCCAGATTATTAAATAAAATTTGGCTTAAACTTTTACATCCTCGCCTTTGTTGTCCTTGCTTCGATCGTATTACCCTACATTATTTTTCTGCTTGCGGAGTTAACAGCACCTGCTTAACGCCGCAACAAGCGTATTTTCATATAGCAGATATCAAAGTGCAATTGGTGTCCTGAGTATCATGTGAATTGTCCCCCAAATTTCACTAAAGGAATGTCCGATTCATTTGGAACACTCACTCCATTTGAAAGATCATAAATCACATTGTCTTACCAAGAGCAGCGTATTTTCAAATAGCAGATGTCAGGGCGCAATTGATATGTGCCTGAGAATTTCCATGATGTGGCATCCCATACCTTTATGCATATACACTCCTATCTTATAACCCATGGTATATCAGTGTAGTTCAGCGAAATTTTGCAGGATACTTTGAATGCTTAGAGACTATACGATAGAAAGATACATAAAGCTAAGTGAGAAATCATATGCCATATTCTAATCTTTCCATATCAGCAACAGAAGACAATGGACCCAGGCTGTTCACATCGCAGGAAACAGATATAGAAGAAAGGTATTTTGGGGTCGCATCACATTGACACACCAGTTCCCGTTCAATCCCTGAAATTAAGCAACATCGAGCCTGATCAGTAAATAGATGGGTGACCATTTGGGAATACCAGTTGCTGTAAACTTGGATGTGTGGGTGGTATAATGGATAATGGCTCGAAATTGTCAATTGGAGAGCTGAGTTCCAATTCCAGTTGGGTTCGTTATATTCCCCTACGTACAAATATTCATTGTAGTGGTAGTGACGGCATATATCAACCTGTACAGTTTTTTTTTTTTTACTTTACAAATGTGTAAGCTTACGGTCAAATCACTCTGAAACACCGGTTCTCGTTCGATCACCGAAGTTAAGCATCGTAGAGCCAGGTCAGTACTTAGATGGGGGACCGCTTGGAAACACCTGGTACTGTAAGCCCCCAAAGTCCAACCCTATTTTATACAGAGTAGGCACTGCTTACCTTGCCTACCCAGACAGCATATCCCGATATATATATATATATATATATATATATATATAGAGAGAGAGAGAGAGAGAGCTGGCTACATGTATTCGACGGTACCCGTCTACCAGGGCAGCTAGCCAATCCCTATTGCAGACACTTGCTCAAGCGCATTTGTGTTTATTCAACACCCATAGAGCCTACCTGTGGTTTATACAGCAACTATGCTGAGCAGACCTTAGTTACAGTTTCTGGGAAAGAGCGAGTTATCTAGCGTGATCAACAGTTTGAACACGGCCAGCATGCTTAAGCCCTTGGTCATGATGACTTGTGACTTCGTGCTAGCACAGCTATCGACGGCACCTATATATATATATATATATATATATATATATATATATATATATATATATGCACCAAAAGAAACAAACACTGAAATATTTGTTTAAATTGTAGAATAAAAAAGTGCTCAATTTCAAGTAGAAAAATCAAACTTGCTGAGTGATTTAATATCTTAAAAAGATAAGAATGCTGACTAGAACACTACTGTGTTTTGACCACGAAGGTCTCATCAGACCACCTGACGAAACCTTGACAGTTGAAACCATGGTAGTGTTCCGGTCATCTTTCATGTTTCAATAAATTGATTGTACTTCTTCAAGAACAATCAAAGTATTGAAACAGGAAAACTTTTGTGTAGCGATTTCAATACGTTTTTATTATAATCTTTTATAATAAAAATTTTCTGCCACGTCATTGTCAAGTACGACCATCACAAGAGGTCATTGATTTGAATGTGCTTTGAACAGTTGTGGCTCTTTAAATCCGACAAACTTTTAAAATATATGACACAAAGATGGCAGACTTGAGAAATATACATTGTGTTGTCATTATGTTTATTTCTGTTAATTTTTTATCATGTCTTTTCAGCCCACCAGGTGATTTTAAAGCTTAATGCTGTTTTGTAGTTGGTTGGCGCTCTGACACAATGACTTCGCAAATGACTCACTGGCGTAGCTGGGGGGGGCGAGGGGGCGGACCGCCCCGGGTACCAGCACAGGAGGGTTGACACTATGTCACCCCCAACAAAATTTTTCGACCAGGCTAAGGTGCCAAAAATAGTCTGAAAACAGTGGTGGAGACACAGGGTTTCGCAGGCGGCCATATGACTCCAAAGAAATAATTTATGACCCCCAGTTTTGTCCCCCCGTCAAAAATTTTCTAATAAATTCTCGGGAAATTTGTGAATAGAAAAAATAGCAATGTTATCAGCTTTTGATTTGAATTGATTATTTTGTGGTATTGGATTTTGTCTTGGATCATACATGTAAACAGTAACATACCGGTCAGTAGAGTAAAGTAGAGGTAGAGCATGTATGAAAATTTAGCTTCAGCTAATCATTCAGCATAGGGTGAATCGGGGTCATTGGGGTGACATTTGAGCGGACCGCCCCGGGTGACGTTTACTCAAGCTACGCTACTGAAATGACTCAGTTTAGCTGTTTTATTCTTTAATTCTTTCACAAACATCCCAAGCAGCCTCCTGTATGTCACCTGTATGGTCTTTGAAGTTCTACATCAAAACATTTTTAATACATGTCTCACTTCAATTTTTCTTCCACAATCCAAGAACTCTTGAAAGGAACTTTTCTATCTAAACTTTCTTCTGCCAGGTACTATAGTCATATATGCACATACACATGCACACACTCACACAAACACACACATCGAACTTGTTGCATTTTGTGCACTTGAGTGCTTAGATCACTTTTTGGAGTTGCAGTTTTGGTTTTCCTTTATCGTCAATGCTGTTGTGTGGATTCCTACTACACACAAAAGACAATGGTTAAATATCGAAAAACATAAGGAAAAATTAATTCCTTTAAATAATCTGTGGAAATAACCACTCTTCACCTGAGGAAGGTTGCAGATCCGAAACTCGTGTATTTAAAAATATGGAAAACCATGCCACAGGTTGACCCCTGCATTGTGAGTGAAATTGGGTAGACAGAACCCTTGGGTGCCGTCAATAGCTGTGCTAGCATGAAGTCACAAGTCATTGTGGCCAAGGGCTTGAGTGTGCTGGTGTTGTTTAAATTGTTGATCATGCTAGATAACTCGGTCTTTCCCAGAAACTGTAACTAAGGTCTGCTCAGCATAGTTGCAGTATAAACCACAGGTGGACTCTGTGGGTGTTGAACAAACACAAACGCATTTGAGCAGGCATCTGCAATAGAGATTGGCTAGGTTATGGAAAACCTGGAAAATATATATATATATATATATATATATATATATATATATTTAAATTTAAATTGTGTATTGTGTATATTTTGGCAGGATGTTTTCATTAAGCCATGTCTCCTTAAATAATTTAGATAAGTTTTGTCTACTTATTTTTAATAAGATCCTCTTGTAATTACGAACAGGTTTCTTAGTATCATTATTAAATGAAGAAAGAAAATTACCATCTTGATACATATTCATTTTATTCTGAGTGCTTCTGACATTAGCTGATGAACACAACAATTTTTTGTCTTAGAAAAAACAAGACACTGATGATGACATTGTAGTAATATCAAAAGTAGTTGGCATGAAGTGTATATGCATCAACATGATAATTTTCTTTTTTCCTTTAATAAGGCTGGGGTGTACAACAGCTGAAACATTGTGAATATGATGATAAATATGAGGAGAACATTCCAAATATTTTAAATAGTGTAAATAATTATGATACCTCATCTCAGAAATATAGATAGATCCTGAAGAAACCCAGAGCATACAATGGCTGAAACGTCATGATCAGGACAATAAAGATGAGGACAACAGTCCAAACAACTTAAATAGTGTAAATAGTTACAATATCTCATTTCAGAAATGTACACAGATATATATATATATATTTAACAAAATAACTCCTGAAGGAGTTGTCTAGCAACACACATGTATAAAGTCGTCTGTGTCAAAATGACAGAGCACCGGATATTATTACAAGATGTTATTTTGACTGGCAATCATCAGTAAAGATTATTGGTGATATGGACACTTAAACCAATATGGCCACTAACTTGATGGCTGTCTACTTGTTAATCAAGTATGACTGTATCTAATGCATGAATATATGAATTAAAACAATTATTACATTGACAGTTTACACTATCACAATAATTTTAATAAAAAATTACACATGCATGTCACGGAAATATGCTTATTTGAGTAAATAAATATATATTTTGTTCAGTGTTTTGCTAGACAATTTTTCTCACCCAAATATATCTTACACATTTATAAGGCTACCATTCAAGTATACATTGAATATTATGACCACATCCAGTCTTGTACTTCTACTACATATTTAGATATTCTTGAGGAGATCTAAGAATAATATGCAATGTTATTGGTCTTGATCTGGCATCACAGCTTCAGTGACTTTTCCACCACCCTAACGTAGCTTACCTGTGCATTTTCTATATATATTTTCATGGCAATTGTTCTGAAAAATTTTCCTCTATGATAATTACACTTTATGAATTTAAGAGCAGTAATAGATTGGCAGCTAGGTTTCTAACATTTTACAGTTGAAATGGCCAGATATAACTGTAAGTTTTATGCTAACAGTTTCTTCTCTCACGTGTCTGGCTCATAGAAGTCTCTTTCAGCTTCTTGCTTTCCAGTGAACTTTGACCTTCACAAATTTAAATGCAATGTTAATCGTTACCTTTTGTCATCTTAATTCCTTTTCATGTATTTTTCCCTCTCTTTAATAATGTTTTTCTTATATTCATACACACTCAGTAACCCCCCTTGCATCTTAGTGGCTTTATTGTCTTGCCTGAGGTGAAATAATTAAAAAAATATGCAAAAGAATATTACTATACACAAATTTAAATGCTGTGCTACAAAATTAAAAATAAATATAAATTATTATGTTTAGAATAAAAAATTTATTAAACAGTGAAATATGTACAAGTGACCTACAAATTGAGTGATCCAGAATAACTCTTAAATCTTGTAAAGGATTTACACTTAATTCCACATATATAATTCAAAATCTCTTGTATCGATTGTGTATTGAGTTCTACATTGATATTGTAAAATTTAACATGTATAGCTAATTCAGGTCTAATTCTACATACTTTATTAAATAAATCTGTAAAAATTATTTTCATGGGCAGTTGAAGTTCCTAGTGTCTTGGCTATGCATATGGTTGTTTGGGCCAGTTGAGAGAGGCTGACATGACTACAAATGTCACACACAGAATGTATATTGTCATAATCAATTGGCAATCCTTTCTTGTAGCCCTTTTCAACGGCATCTATTTTCCTCATAAATATGTTTCCTCCAATTTAATTGGTCATTAGGATCATTCTCCAAATTATCTAGATTGATTTTAAAAACTATCTATGATGTGTCTATTGAATATAAACATGATTATATATATATATATATATATATATATATATATATATATATATATATATATATATATATATATATCCTCTAACTCTTTCCTTTCCTATACAGTTACTCTCTTTTTTTGTCATATCCGGTAAAGTTTAGAATATTCAAAGTTAACCTCTCTTGCTCTCTCTTCTCTCCCCCCCCTGTCATTATATATATATCTCCCTTTCCTCAGAAAAAAACCTTATTTGAAAATCTCTATCATTTTTTTTCTTTTTCT